TATATATATATATATATATATATATATATATATGTATGTATATTTATATTATGGGAAGATTGAATATATCATTTTATAATAATTTGATTGCCAACAAAAAGTTAGACTGGGCAATTGTTAACCAAATCACACACTTCACTCATAGGACATGGGAGATGAATCTTGTGAGCAAAGAGAAAGAACCAGTACTACATATATTTGAACCTTGTTGCTGTACTGATTTTTGTTTCTGTTGATGAGCAGGTCTCACAAAGAGAAGCGTTCTGCATATGCCCCCGTAGAAAAAGGCGTGCGATATGATGGGATTTATAGAATTGAAAAATGTTGGCGAAAAGCTGGAAAACAAGTAACAAATTCTTATCAGATGCTCTAAATTTGCCTATTACCTTAAGTTAACTTGCTGATGGGTCTTTCCTCTATTAGGGTTTTAAGGTCTGTCGATATTTGTTTGTGAGATGTGATAATGAGCCTGCCCCATGGACAAGGTTTGTGTTGTGCTTCTGACTTGGTTAATTGTTTCTTCTCTTACTGGACTCCTTAACATTTTGTGAACCTGAATGTAGTGATGAAAATGGGGATCGACCTAGGCCTCTGCCTTCTATTCCAGAGCTCAAGGTGGCAACTGATGTAACAGAGAGGAAGGAGAGTCCCTCCTGGGACTTTGATGTGAGTAGATGCGGTTTCTGCTTTTTCATTTATTTTTCCCCATTTAGTGACTTTTCTTTAGCTATTCAAATGGCAACATGTAGTAATAAATTAATCTTCTTGTGGTTCACTGACTGCATAATTTACCATGGGAGAAATCATCTGATGGAACCATGTGGCAACTTAAGATAAATGTTGTAGAACCGTTTTCTTTTTTTGAGGATGAAATTTGATTATCACTTGGAAGATTGTCTCTATTTGTAATCTTTAGAATTTTTTCTTGATTCAACCAGGAAGAAGACAGTCGCTGGAAGTGGAAGAAACCTCCTCCTCTTAGCAAGAAACCAGTTAATAATGGAGATCCAGCAGATGGGAAAAGATCACTGAAAGCAACAAGGAAAGCACGAAATTTTAGTATTAGAGAGAAGCTCCTGAAAGGTTTGTTGTGTAATCTGTCCCTTGCTTTTATACTTAATATACAACTCCCTCAGTGGGGTGGAAAATGCTCTACTCAAGAACTGAGAACTGGCTTTAATATATACTATCATTAAATGTCTAAACTAGTTGACGCAGTCAAATTTGGTGATGCATTTATATTCAGTTGCGCTATCTGTTTACTTAATGTTGTAATCTTTTTATCTTTTAATGCTTGGTCAAGTAAGTTTGATGAACAGAATGAACTTCTCATAAATGGCCTCCTCATGACTTGTGAGCTTAGAACTGGTTTCTTTGTCTTTTTTGGTTATCAACTTAGTATTGGTTTCAACTTCCAAGATATGCTATATCTTATACAAATACTTAAATGATGCAGCTGATCTGGTAGATGATTATTTGTGATAATAAATAAGGCAGCAAGGATTTTAGGTAATATGTAGTAAATTCGATATTAACATGGTTAGCTTTTAATACGCAGAGTTCAGTTGCCTAATCTGTCGGCAAGTTATGACTCTCCCGATTACTACACCATGTGCCCACAACTTTTGCAAGTCTTGTCTTGAAGAAAAATTTGCTGGTAAGACTCTTGTTAAAGAGAGGAACAGAGGTGGGCGGACACTTCGATCAAAGAAGAATATATTGAACTGCCCTTCGTGCCCAACTGATATATCTGACGTTCTGCAAAATCCTCAGGTATGCAGATTTTCTATTTGGAGAGCAGATTGTGTTCATGTTTTATTGTGCACTTGCCCTTTGCTTTTGCATTTGGATAGGTGAAGGTAAAGTTAAACTTGAAGTTGAACTATTTAAGGGTTGAAAATTTAAATGCATGTGGGAAACTTGAACTGGTTTGTTTCTTTTACATTTCTTCTATCTGCAAACATCTAAGTGGTCTGCAGGCTTTTACTTTCCCCTTTCCCGAGCGTGATGATCCCTACTTACAAACAGAGAAATATACTGCAACAGGTGAACAGAGAGTTGGTGGATGTAATTGAGTCTCTAAAACGTGAGTGTGAGGAGAATCAGGAACTTGCTGAAGGATCGTGTGAAGAAGAGACAGACGATGTGGAGGGAAATCCAGACCTTGCTGTTAGTGATTCTGAAATTGGCAATGAAAATTCTGAAACAGCTGGTCCAAGTGATGATATGGTGAATCCTCCAGCTGATTGCGAACCCAAAAGGACTAGAAAGAGAATGAAAGTGGTTGCAGAGGATGGTAGATTGAGCGATGATGATGGGAAGGAAATTAAGATTTCTGAGAATAAGCCTACTGGTTTAGATGAAAATGGTGAAGTTAACAATCTGCGGCCTGGTGTTGTTGAATGTAATGCAGCTCCTGCAGGGAAACGTACTTCCAAAAGGAAGCATGCTGATAATGGGGATGATCTGAAAGAGTTTGTTGGTGTCAAGAGAAGCAGGGAAGGTCAAGAAGCAGTGAATAATGCAAATGAATCACCGTCAAGCACCCTCCAGGTGCAATCTTCTGATGAAGATCTTGAATGACCAGTTCTTTTGATTGGACCACCATCAGGTAGCCTTAAGTTACATCTAATAATCTTCACGGGGAAACTTTATCAAGGGATCCTGGATTTTGCTAAGGGCTTCTTGTATGTACCAACGGTTCTGTTTTGTTGCATCAGGGATTCTGCTTTTGATTTTTTGTATTGATTGTTCCTTTTTTGTGCTCCAATTTGTAAAAGAATCCGGATTGCTGGCTGTGATGCTCAGTTTCTATCATATGCGGGACAATGTATTCGATGTAAAACCGTTGAACCATTTCATCAAAAATATTTCATTATGAATTCTCTTCTGTTTCTCCCTCTTTCTGTCAAACTTCACATCTGTTGGCCATGGTTATATCCCTTCGGACAATTTAAGCCTGAAGAACCAGTGCTTATCGGTATCAACTTTTAATGAATGGACCAGAGGTTTAAGCTTTAAGGAGCATGGTGAGGCGGCATGGAGAGGCGACGTGCAGTACCGGTATGTAATGCATGCTGTCGCCCC